GTGAACACCAGAGATGTGGGGGTGCAGAGCAGGCTAGAAGATTTTGTGTGCTCCAACTACAGGGAGAGGACTACAGAGCGGCTGGAGCACCAGTGCTGCAGCGGAGCCCCGAATCTGGAGGAATAGATTCAGACAAGCCGCGGACCATATCCTGGGTCTTAGGTTCACCAACCCTTGACTTAAAAGGTTGCCCAGTTTTGGGAGGACACCAGGAAACTCAGCAGCATCTCCCATGGTGGAGAGACAGGATCACAGCCAGGAGTGGTTGAGGCTCAGGAAGAGGATGGATTTTACCTTTGTACTTCTCCTGAAGCTCGCTTCTCTCCGGCAGCGCCTCCCGGAGGAGTCTGGGAGCACGAGAAGACGCCATCTCAGCCCGACAGTTCCCTTCTTGAGGCTAGAGATATAAACAAAGCAGCCGACTAAGCACCCGAACCTCTTCATGTCAAGATTCAGTCTTAACAGGGATGGAAGACTCTGTAATTCATGGGCGGTGGGTAATGAAGGCAGGGGAAGGCTTTGCCTACCCGGAGAGACATGGATGGCCCTGCCCATGTCCTGCCCAAGTCAAGCCCCCTCAAATTTATTTGGAAATCATAGAATGGCTGTGTAGACGCTCGCTTTGTTATTTCGGAGTAACGCCGCGGTGTACACACACCCTGAGGAGCAACAAGACTCCTATTTTCGTCGCTGAACATTGTCATTATGTTCCTGAACAATGCAACTTTAAGAGAAACAATGTGAAGCAAATCCAACGTCCCCATTGGAGTTAGTGTAAACTGCTAGGTTCCAAGGACATTATTTTTGTCAGTACAGATACCACTTGTGAATAATTCTAAACGATTGACTCCTGTGCTCCCCAATGACGATTGTGAAGCTTGGTGGAGGAAGGGGTGTAGCTGGGCCGAGGGGTGGAAGCTTTCCCCGCTCCGCTCACCCCGTGCTCTCACCAAGTTGCAGGCTTGGTGTGTGGGGGTTGCTCTCTTCTATCTATTCAGTGCTCCCGTCGGGGTTTGTCCACTCCCTAACTTGAATGCCGGGCAAGCAGGGTGAGGTAAGTCCCTACGCCCTGATCTCACTCCCTGGCTGGAACATTGTGTGGGCGGGAGGAATGGGGCAAAGCAAAGAACCTTACACCACAACATTGCTTTAAACAAGTGTGTTCTTTATAAGATCGACAACATAAGAACCCAAGAACAGGGTCCATCTATCCTGTCTGCCCACAGCGGCCAACGCCAGATGCCCCTGAGGGAGGAAATACAAGAGGGAATCTTCACGTGATCCCTTTCCTGTCACCCATTTCCAGACAAACAGCTTAGGGACACGACTCCCACGCATCATGGCTAAGAGCCATTGACAGCTTAATAAGGAAACAAAGGAAACTTAATAATCTGAAGAAGAGGGCTGTGCCCACAAAAGCTCATGATATCATCTGCGTATTTCATTAGTCTTTAAGGCGCTGCAAGACTATTATTTGTTTTTTAATTTTTTTCTGCTACAGACTAACTCAACTACCCTTCTGAAAGTTAACTGGGACAACTTTGAGCAAGGAGCTACTGTGGAACTTTTTTATTTTCTGATTGTTAATTTGCAGCATCTTTGGGGCAATTTTCTTTTCATGATTCACCTGAAAAAAACTTTTTTTTCAGTTTTGAGCTAAAAAAAATAGTATTTGGCAGTTTGGGGCCTTTTGGAGAGTTTGGGGTTTTTTTGGGACAGCTTTGGAGCAACTGTTTTTCAGGTTTTGGCAAGGTTTGGCTGAATATTTTCTTTGTATTCATCTGAGCATTTGAGAATAAAGCAGGGGACTGGATTTGAGGAACTCTCGAGATCCCTTCCAGTCCTAGTTCTATCATTCTGTGATTCTATGACGGAGCCCTCCCAAGCCATCACAAGGAGGCGAAACACCCACCCACACACACACCACCACATCCCTTACCTCCACGTGCAGGATCTGCAGCTACCTCTCAGAAACTTCCTGACAGCCTTCTTCAAGGTGTTGGCTTGCAACCAGCTTATATACCTGCCTAGCCTTGCACACTTCCCTCTTCCCAGATCTTTCCCAGATTGCACAAGGAGATATATGTCCCCTTCATCAGCATTCAAGGTACGCCTGTCTGGCACAACATTTCTCTGATGAAAGATCTGTGTCTGTGTCAGCGGAGGAGGTGTTCCTACCTGATTCCCCAGAGCACGGGAGGATGCAGGCTCAGCAGAAGTTGTGTCCTCAGATTTATAAACACCAGACTTTATACCCAGTGCCAGGGAAAGCAGGGACGGAGTCAGCCATGCTGATGTCTGAAATGATGTCACGTTTAAGAGGCCGCCACCGCATTGTCCCCAAAAATGTGCATGATTCCAAGTGAAAGGAGAATGAAAATAGAAACAAAAAAGTTGTATATTTGCATCTAGGTAAGTGAGGCTGCAACTTATAACTAGTCATTTTTTTTATTTAGGGGCCCCTCATAATCTGAGGCCCTTAACCAGCATTGGAGGGGAGGGTCGATGGTGAACAGAAAAATCAGTCGGGAGCTGCACTCAAATGAGAAGAAAAGAAAAAAAAAAGCTACTTTCACTCACGTGGCCCCCAACTGAGAGGTAGAAAGACACTCCCCAGATTCCCCTCCTCCTCGTACCTGTGCCTGGAGAGGGGACACCTTTCCTGCCTCAGTTTCCCCACAGCTCAAACGGCCATGGGGCTAATGACCTCCTTGTGCAAGAGCCATGAGCTGGCTGGATGCAAAGTGCTCCGTAAGCGCTGAATGTTACCAGGAAATTGCACCTGTTCCCCAAGTATCAAAAGCTCCATTCTCCTGGGGCGTTTGTTGGGACTACAACTGGAATTCCCCTAGCCCTGAGGAAATCCCTCCTGACGGATCAGAACGGAAGCTGCGTGCTCTGCCTGGGCCACTCCTGCTTGGAAACACAGACGGGTTGAGGGCCCATTGGAACAGGCAATGAATCTTTCCACTGCCCCTCCCAGCTGTGGGGTCCTGTCAGTTAAAGGGGGCAAGGACTTGACATAGGCAGGGAGACCTGTCCACCATGTGTGGGGATCATGGCTCAGACCTAAACCTCCTCTTGGTGCTGCAGGTGCAAATGCCAGATCAAGGGCAGACTGACAACTCTGTGCTTCCTTCTACCCCACAAGAGAACACCCCCTACTGTTGGGCTGTGTCAGGCTTAACTAAGGGGTACGGCGTGAGCAGACCTTGCTTCTATTGACTTATAGGCTTGCTTTGATCCCTCCCTTCCTGCTTGCTCAGGGTTGATACGCAAACAGCTGTACCAAGGATGTCGCTTTTAATGGATGCTCTGTGTGTTAACAATGCTGCCTTCCTTCCCCCCTTCTCTGCTCCCATTGGCTCTGAAATCTACATTCAGGGTCACATCTTCTTTCCCCCTTGTATCTTGCTGATGTCAAGAGCTTTGTGATGCGAGAACCGCCCCAAAAGCTGTAAACAGGGGCAGGTCTAATTATTTTGATCACATGGATATGATTATGTATGATAAGGTTGTTCTCATTATTAAATTAGGGTTTACAGGGTGATGTAATTGAGTTGTATATTTACATACCAACAACAATACCAAAATGTGCCCGTGGGCAATTTGTGATTCACTTGCCTTCCAAGGTTTGTGGGGGTCCGAGGCGGAAGGCGTATCTGCAATAAAGGAGCCTGCTACCCCATCCACCTCTGGGTCACCCGTGTGTTGAGTAGCCCTGCTCTAAGGCTACGTCTACACTCATGGGCGGCCCGAGACTATAGGCCGACTCGGCGGGCGCCTAGGGCGTCGCCTTCAACGGGGCACCCGGGGCACCCGATGATGATGTCACAGGGTGCCCGATGATGTCGTTATTCCACTGACGGCCGTGCAGGCCAGGGCCCCAATAGCACGTTCCGCCTGGGGCCTTAGCTGCTGCAGCCCGCCTTGGGCTACTCCTGTCTACACTGCACGCTTATTTCGGAGTCAGCTGTTCCGGAAGTAATACTCTGAACAAACTTATTCTGGAATAGCGCATCTACAGTACAGGGAAGCCTGGAAATTAGCCCGAGGCACACCAGGCCACCGCGTGGGAGCTAGCGGCTCATAGCACGTTCCGCCTGGGGCCTTAGCTGCTGCAGCCCGCCTTGGGCTACTCCTGTCTACACTGCACGCTTATTTCGGAGTCAGCTGTTCCGGAAGTAATACTCTGAACAAACTTATTCTGGAATAGCGCATCTACAGTACAGGGAAGCCTGGAAATTAGCCCGAGGCACACCAGGCCACCGCGTGGGAGCTAGCGGCTCAAGCCACCGTTTGGACTCCGCGCCCCCCATTAAGCACGGTGAATGCTGAGCCCAAACGGCCATTTGGGGTCCACGGTCCCCCGAGTGAGAGGCGGGGGGGGAGGAGAAGAGAAAGAGAGAGACAGAGAGAGAGGCGGGAGGAGGAGGGGGGGGAGGAAGCAGGAGAAGAGAGAGAGAGAGAGAGAGAGAGACAGAACGAGAGACCGGAGGCTCAGGAGGAGAGAAGACCGACGTGGAGGAGAGACCTGAAAATCCCGTCTTATGACGGGCTAATTGGCTAGTTCTTCATAAGCCTCATGTCTTGCTGCCTTTCTCTCACACGGTCAGAGCTGGCCCAAGCTACGGGCTGATCGGGCTACCGCCCAGAGCGCACCATTGTAAGGGTCGCAGTGTGGGGCTGCCGGGCCCAGTGGGGACGGGACCACACATGTGCCGGGCGCCTGGGGCGGTGCTGCACATGCACCACACTCCCTGGGGCGGCGCCGCACACCCAGGGCCAGGGGCGCACGAAGGGCTCGGGCCGGCCCTGCACATGGTGAACAGCAGAGACCATGCGTGTGTCCTCGGCCCGGCTGCTGACTCCGGCTCATGGGGCTCGAGCCCTTTCATTGTTGTGTAGACTTTGCAGCGAAGCGGGGATGGTCGTCGCGCTCTTCGCTTTGGTCTCTTGCATGTGATCTCTGTTGTCCTGTGCTGTCGTAACGCTGTGCTTGTGCCTCAGTTTCCCCGGGCACTGCTCCTGTGTGGGGTGTGGCTCCCACTGAGGGGAGACCGCTTCAGGCTCAGACTTTCTTGTATCCTGACCCTAGCTGGGGGGTGCGACCAGGTGACACCTTTTTACCTTGGAAGCTGGACAAAGGAAGAGATGGGGCTTCCTGCAGGGCTGGACCCCCTTGCTGAGTGGGTGAGTTAGTCTCCGCTGGCTTAGGATACTGGGAGTCTAGACAGCTTGGGGGGCAGGGAGGGGCCCAGAGCCCTGCTTCTGGGCTTCCCTAGCCCCACGTTTGATTGCGCTGCCGGCTCCGGGTTCCTGTAACAACACGTCTGTGCTACCCTGTGTCCTCATGAACGAATAAACCTTCTGTTCTACCTGCTGCCTGATCATCTCGTCTGGCTGCGGAGGGGGGTGCAGGGCCCGGTGACACCCCCCCCCACACACACACACACACACATCTGTGAGAGACTTCCATGCTGAGCTTTTAGAGCCTCCCTCTTGTGGCGTTTCAGGGCCTGGCTTCCCGCCCCCCGTGGACCTGCTCTAGTTAGGTCTACGGCCAGAGCCATGCAAGTCTGAGTTAGCTGCTCTGGACTCTGGACTCTCTGCTCTGGGTAGAGCCATCCCGTCCCTAGGACAGGCAGGGGCAGCCTCCCCAGACCTCACATTTTGGAGGGCCTGGTGTGGGTAGCTGGTGAGTGCGGAGAGGGGAGCTGCAGGAGTGGAGCGACCCATCGGCCTGTTCCGCTCCGCCAGCTCCCGGCCGCATCGCCCCCTCCGCTGCAGGGCCGGCGTAGGGGGTGGAGCAAGGGCGGAAGAGGCGAGGCAAGAGGGTGGAGTCGTCTCAAGTCCCCACACTCCCCCAGGGCTGGCGCCGGCTGTGGGGTTTTGATGGGCTGTGTCGAGGAGGCTGCGAGGAGCGTCTCCGTGGGAGCGTGGGCCCCGGGGCTCGGGCGAGAGTTTCCCTTGCGTGGGGTGGTTTCAATGCCCCGATCTCACGGCGCGACCAGACCTGAGCAAAGGCGGGAGAGAGGATGAGGCGAAGCTCAGAGCAAAGGAGAGGGGAGTCTGCCCGAGACCTGAGCAAAGGCGGGAGAGAGGATGAGGCGAAGCTCAGAGCGAAGGAGAGGGGAGAGGGGAGTCTGCCCAGCTCATCAAAGCGAGCAATGAAGGGCAGCGCCCCACCGTGTTCTGGAGCCCGCGGGAGTGTGAGAAGGTGGGGGTCATGCCTCCCAGAGCCTACTGCACACCTCACAACAGCTGAGCTATGGCAGGTGGGGGCACAGGTGTTCTCTCCCCTGCCCTATGGATGGGGAGGGGGGTAAATCTGTAGTTGATGAGTCTGTGTATGGAATCTAGACATCATAGGCATGCACACAGGGTGTGCCGGGTGTGCCCAGGCACACCCTAATGTCTCAAAAAAAAGTGGCTTTGCATTTGAATTTAATCGCATGATACGCTCTTTTAAGTAAAGCTTAGTTGTCAATTTAAAAAAAATTAAGTTTAGTTAAGGTTTCAGGCACACCCTAATGTCTCAAAAAAAAGTGGCTTTGCATTTGAATTTAATCGCATGATACGCTCTTTTAAGTAAAGCTTAGTTGTCAATTTAAAAAAAATTAAGTTTAGTTAAGGTTTCATTTCTTTAGTTTGTTTGATGAATAAAAATAATGTCCTTTGTGATTGAGTAGTCAATAAATGTTCGCCTTGAAAAAAATAAGTAAATCAAATTCCCTGGGTGCACACCCTATTGAAATGTGCTGCACACGCCTATGGGTGGGAGATGGTGGGAGGGAGAGAGGAGCTGATTGAAAGGGCTACCAGTGGACGGAAGGCAGGGGGAAGGCCTGCAGCTGGGTGCGGAGCATCCACTAATTCTTTTCCACGGGTGATCGAGCCCTAGAACACCCCACGGAGTCGGCGCTTAGGCCAAAAAGTTCCTGTGCAGATGGGGCTTTGAAATAGAAGCCCCAGCTCTGAAGCCCTTTCCCCTCCCCGATTCTAGACCCGAGCTGTGGCTCATGGGGGAATGTCAAAGTTGCAGATGGGGCTTTGAAATAGAAGCCCCGGCTCTGAAGCCCTTTCCCCTCCCCGACTCTAGACCCGAGCTGTGGCTCACGGGGGAACGTCAAAGTGCTCTCTGCGCTTTGGAGTCCTTGTGTGAGCTCTGGGCCGACGTTCCCTGTAAGCCGAGCGCTTGCGCAGCCAATCGGGAGAGAGTTCACAGCCGCACAGCTAATTAGCCGAGCACCCACAGTGAGGTGTTGTGTTTCTGCTGGTGGTGCACGTTGGCGCACACAACAAAATGTATTCCGCACATGAATGGAAAAAATCCCCACAGAGATGGAAAAGATTAGCGGGAACATAGGCGGTGGATAGAAGGGGTGGGTGAAGGCCACACCTTTCCAAAATGGAGGCATGGGCCCGCCCACACTCCACCCCCAGCCTCAACCCAGTTCCTGGGTTCCAGCCATCCTGAGGCTGGCGTAGTGCACCTTCCCCATGGAGACTGGGGTGGCTGGGGCCACAGGAGCCCACCCCACATCAGGGAGGCTCATGTGGGGAACTGCTGCTGTGGTGGAGAGGTGGCCGCCATTCTGATGATGGGGTTGGGCTTGGTTTCCCGTGGGGGCGGGCCACCACTCATAAGAGGGAGCCAGGCGGTTGTGTGAGTTCCTCGACCAGGGCTGGGATGATCGACAATGCAGTGGGGAGGTCTCAACTCCATGCATTTCTGCACCCATTTAACAAAAGACGGGGTTGTCAACGGGATGTAGGTAACCCCCTTCAAAAGCTTCTTAAATCAACACAAACGATCCCTTTTAAATCAGTTAGGAGCAAGTTTTAGTCAATCCCAGAATTGCCAACCCCCCGTGTTCAAAACATCCCCGCTTCTTAAAAATCAGATTTAAAAAAGATAGTGTTCTTATTAGTATATTGTGGTAGCACCTGTTCATGGACAGGACACTATTGTGCAAGGCGCTGTACGGATCCCAATCCAAAAAGACACTCCCCCCCACCGAAGAGAACTAGCAGTAATAAATGTGGGGTATTTGAATTTGCTGGATGCTTTAAGAATCTGGGAAGCCTGGAAACTTCTCCTGTGCATTGATGAAATCTTAGGCTGTTATGATTTTAATTGCTTGATTTAATAAGCGCTCAGAGCCTGAGGGAATCACAGGACTCCGGGAACTGGGGCTTTAAGAGAAAAAATCAAATATTATGACACACATGAGAAAACTACAAGTGCTGGCAACACTTAGGCCTAGTCTACATTACACTGACCCCTTCTTCCCCCAGCTGATCTAACCTGCACAATTTCAGCTATGCAAAGAGTGTAGCTAAAGTCGATGTACTTATCGCGGTATCTTCCACGCAATAAGGTGGGTGAGGGCTGTTTGCCTGTCAGCTCCAGCTACTCTTCTCACCCTGGTGGAACGCAAGAATCGTCAGGAGAGCACTCAGAGATTGATTTATCACATCTAAGCAGACGCAATAATTCAACCGCCGGTGGATCGATCGCTGCAGCCTCGATCCCCCATCGACTGTAGACAAGCCCTTAAAATTGAGCCACACCACTTTGGAGCCTAATTAAGAGCATTCACACAGGTGTGTGCTCCGGTTCAAATTAAATCAGATGCTGGTGCAAAGCTTGTGTGTAGACAAGGGTGCAGAGGCTAGGGCAGGCTGTACAGAAAATGGCTAGAGGGGTGCCTTTCCTGGGGAAGAGGGGGGAGGTCGAGTCCCAGTGTGCCTCAGGGGGAGATTGTGAGGGTAACCGTGGAGCCCACGTACAAGAAGGGGAAAACGACTTCCTTCTTGAAGGAGGCCAACATTGCAGTCATCTTTCCATCTTCATAAAATCCAACCCACCCCCCTTCATAATCCAGACAAACTCCGATCTTCCCAGACTTCACACACCCCTGTGTGGACACAACAGAAGAGCTGTCTGCTGCCCTCCGAAGCCACCAGCACCCATGACACCAGATCCCCTCCTCCGGCTGAAGAGAGAGCCCTTCATTCCTCTTTACTGACTCTAAGGCGACTCCCACGGCCCACTCCCGCTGATCCCCAACCTCCACCTCCCAGTAATGTCTCCCTGAGGTGAACCCCTGGGCGCCCAGAACACAGGGTACAAGCTCAAATCTCTTGGGATTGGGGGGTGGACTCTGGGGGAAGTCTGCTGCAGTCACGGACTTCCTGTCCTCAGACACTATGAGATACTCTTCCGCCGTGTCCGGATCCAGAGTCACGTCCGCTGGGTGGGGAGAGAGAGAAGCAGAGCGTTAGAGTCAGGGGGGAGACCTTCTCCTGTAGAAAACCCCTGGACTCACGGACTTCAAGTCTGCAGACAGGATGAGAGAGGCGTGCGCCGTCTCCGGATCCAGAGTCACGTCCGCTGGGTGGGGAGAGAGAGAAGCAGAGCGTTAGAGCCGGGGGGTTCTTCTCCTGTAGAAAACCCCTGGGCAGAGCCCCGAGCACCCGGAGCAGGGCCGACACAGCCACCACCTGGAGCCTCACGTGTCCCTTGTGGGCTTCTTCTGTGGACCTATTAGTGGCCCAATAACTGCAGCACTGGGGGGGGGCGCATCTTCTGTATTAGGGTTAAGTGGTTAAATCAATAATTTCTGAGGAGAGGGGGCCCACTCCTTGATTTTGGCAAGTGGTCTTAGGCTGCACTCCTCTACGGAGGGGGTATGGGGTCTGGGAGAAAGCTTAGGTGGAGTAGGGGGTTGTGACCTGGGGCGGAGGATTGGGGTGCAGGATCTGGGAGGGAGTCGGGGGGTGCAGAGTGATTTTTGATCTAGGAGGAGGTGTAGCCGGGGTGCAGGATTGGGGAGGGAGTTGTGACCTGGGGTGGGATGTGTGGGCAGAGAATTTGGGTGGTGACCTGGGTCAGGGGCCTGGGAAGTGGGAGGCAGGCTCTGGCTGGGCGTAATTTACCATTGGCGCCTCCCAGCCAGCAGCCCAGCAGGGTCCCTGAGGCAAGCTCCTTCCTGCATCAGCCCGAGGGTGCTCAAGAGGTTCCCTCCATGTGCCGCTCAGGGCCACGTATCCCTAGGGAGCAAGAGACTTCCCATGCTCCCCTGTCCCCAGGCCAATCATCACAGCTGGGAGCGGGGTCTGGAGGCAGGGTGAACACGCGAACTCTGTGGCCCCCCTCCCAGCACCATGCAGCGCCGAGAGGGAACTGCCAGCTGTTTTGAGCAGCTGGTGACTCCCTCTATGCGCTACGCACTGCTGGTGGCAGCGGTGGGGAAAGGAAACTTCACTCATTCCCCCGCCAGCCCCAGGCCAATTGGTCTGAGGACAGGGGGCTGCACACATGTGAGAAGTGAAGAAAAAAAGAAACCTCACTGACGTGGCCCCAGACTGAGAAGGAGAAAGAAGAGACATTCCCATCATTTCATTTGCACACCAGAGCCTTGGCGGGAGTGTGGGGGGGCGGGGAGGAGGTTGCCCAGTTTCGGGAGGGCACCAGCAAACTCAGCAGCACCTCCAGTGGCGGAGAGACAGGATCACAGCCAGGAGTGGTTGAGGCTTAGGGAGAGGATGGATTTTTACCTTTGTACTTCTCCTGAAGCTCTCTTCTTTCTGGCAGCGCCTCCCGGAGGAGTCTGGGAACACGAGAAGAAGCCATCTCAGCCCGACACTTCCCTTCTTGAGGCTAGAGATAAAAACAAAGCAGCCGACTAAGCACCCGAACCTCTTCATGTCAAGGTTCAGTCTTAACAGCGATCGAAGCAGGGTCGCATTTTCTTTTCAGTCAACCCTTTCGGAGGAGAAAACGGAAAGCCCAAATGCCCAGGCCGTTCAAGTATTCGATCCTCTTCACAGGAAATAATAACACAAGAAAACAAAGTGAATCCCTGGGTTAAAAAGGATCAGCATTCAGAGAGTTCACACAGCCACCCTGAGCAAAAGGACCGTAATCTGTCAGACAAACCAAACAGCTGCTCTGTTCAAAGACTGGACGGTGGAGCGTAATTGTGGAGGTAAGGTGTGGGATGTTTGAATCACTGCTTTATTTGCGCTTTCGATGTGTCTAGTTTGCATCCCTCTGCCGATACCGGGGTATAGTGTGAACACACACAACCAGAATGCGAAGCGACTGTCTAGGAAGGAGTACGGCAGCAAGGGATCTAGGGGTTATAGTGGACCACAGGTTACATATGAGTCATCAGTGTGACGTTGTTGCAAAAAAGGCAAACATGATTCTAGGACGTATTAACCGATGTGCCGTGAGCAAGACACAAGAAGTCTTTCTTCTGCTCTACTCTGCACTGATTAGGCCTCAGCTGGAGAATTGTGTCCAGTTCTGGGCACCGCATTTCAAAAAAGATGTGGAGAAATTGGAGAGGATCCAGAGGAAAGCAACAAAAATGATGAAAGGTCTAGAGAACATGAGCTATCAAGGCAGACTGAAAGAATTGGGCTTGTTTAGTTTGGAAAAGAGAAGATTGAGGGGACATGTTAGAGGTTTTCAGGTATCTAAAAGGGTGTCACAAGGAGGAGGGAGAAAATGTCTTCTTCCTGGCCTCTGAGGATAGAACAAGAAGCAAGGGGCTTAAATTGCAGCAAGGGAGGTTTAGGTTGGACATTAGGAAAAAGTTCCTAGCTGTCAGGGTAGTTAAACACTGGAATAAATTGCCCAGAGAGGTTGTGGAATCCTCATCTCTGGAGATATTTAAGAGCAGGTTAGATAAACGTCTATCAGGGATGGTCTAGACAGTACTTGGTCCTGCTAGGTGCCCTCCATTCTGAGGCTTAAATTGCAGCAAGGGAGGTTTAGGTTGGACATTAGGAAAAAGTTCCTAGCTGTCAGGGTAGTTAAACACTGGAATAAATTGCCCAGAGAGGTTGTGGAATCCTCATCTCTGGAGATATTTAAGAGCAGGTTAGATAAACGTCTATCAGGGATGGTCTAGACAGTACTTGGTCCTGCTAGGTGCCCTCCATTCTGAGGCTTCTATGAGGGAGCACTCCCCAGCCATAACAATGAGGCCGCAAACACACAC